ATATGTACTTAACTTGTCTATGTGCCTTTGAACATGCCTAAATGTTCATGCCTTTCTTGCTAAATAGGTGCACTCCTATTCATTTTTTTAAACCTCTCTTAATTGTCAACTCTTTTTGTGATGTCTTTACTGGATCCTTTCCTTTCCCTCTTGCTTTTCTTGTGTCTCAACCTTGCACATGTCTTACTTTTATAATGCACACTTATCACTGAAACACTCATCTATCACTTCTGTGTAATTTTGGTTCATTCTTTCTCACTCCTCTATGGGAATATGAGTTTTCCAAGGGTAGAAATTATCTCCTGTGTAATTTCTAGCAAATAATTTGGCTCAGAGTGGATGTTTCAGGGGTGTTCATAGTGAAAAAAAATGTACCCTGAACTTTAAAAAGCATTTAATGAAGAGACATTTTTCTCATAGTGCTATGAGGTACAAATCAAGTCATTAGTACCTCACAGTCTGCAGCACAACAAAATAACAATTTTATTAAAGTAAATCAGCCACCCCTCTTAATATTTGGCCTATGGCAACATTCAATCTTATGTCCTAGACCCTCTCATTGTTTTGTTATGCAAATAAGGGGAACGAGGCTTAGAGAAGGTCAGCACCTTCCCTGAGGTCATATAGATGGTTAGGGAATTAAATATAGATAACGCATTATCCTTGGGACAAAAACCAGAGCCCTTAACCCTCTTCATCTTTTTCATCTCTTACCCTGCTTATACTTTCTCTGCTCTTTGGTCTTTCTAGGTCTGATCTTACTACCTTCCACCATAGGGGCTTTTCCACCTGCTGTCACCTGTACCTGAAAGGCTCTTTGCTTCAAGTTTTTATCTGCATGCTGTCTGTCTTTCAAATCATAAGTCATGAAACTTTTTTCCCCAGGAAAAATTTTTCTGTTCCCCCTGGCCACAATGAGCAAGTGGAACCCATCATAGGGGTTGGGGAACCAATAAATGTATATTTGTTGAATTAATAAATGGATGAAAAGTCTGTGATGTTCTTCCTTAAAACCCAGTGACACAAGCAGGGGGGAAAGAGTGTAGGAGTTTGAAGGCATTCGGAGAAGGCATGCTGGATTGTATAGATAGAGAAGTCTCGTATACCTGTCTTATATAGTTATTACATAACCTGACACAGTGTTGGCAATTGATGAGGCTTTAGTGGCTTCTTGGCATAGCAGAAAATCACTGAAAAGTAGTCAAGAGACCATGTGGTCCAGTACCCATATCTATCTCATTGAAGGGGAAATTGAGTTCCAGGATAAAGAAACTAAATTGCACACATCACATACATCACATTCCACTGTTGTTCACATCACACAGGGGCAAAAATAGAAATGCTAGACTTCTCCCAAGGCCAGCACCAGCAGGATCTGCGTCAAGTAGAAGATACATTGAGATTCTTGGTCAGATATAGCCTTGGTGACCCAAGAAAGGGGAATGTACAATGTCAGGGCAGGAGGGGGAGGGAGAAGAAGGCCCTGGTGGAAGAGATCCAGGGGATCTGTCAGACACCTTTGCTGAGATCTAAACATTTCTTTCCACAGCCGAACAGGCAGCACTTCATCTTATCTGGGCAATGCCTGTGCCTCAAGCACTGGCTCCTTTCTTCGACTTCACATTTCACTCTGATTTTGGGACAGGATCCTAAGGAAGGAGAAGACATCCTTCCTTCAGACCTCGAAGGGGCCATTGTTTTTCCTTCCCCCAACACTGTGGATTTGGAGAAGCTTGTTTTCCCTCCACCTGAGCCCAGAAAGTAGTAATAGGGGGCTCATGAGCCTAATGACACTGGCCACTACCCCAACCCTATAACCACTCACTATCTGATCCCTAAATCCACCCCTGCTGCCATTTCTACCACCTATAAGTTTCCCAGAGAAGGACAAGCTTCTTTGGGACTACTCTGGTCACTACAGCTTGTTGGGCTTGGATGTTCCCCCAGGAGGTGCTGTAGCTCATGGTGACTGAGATTTCCATTTCTGGCAAAGATGGCTGGGCTTTAGAACTCTGTGCAAATCTTGGAATGGGAGGAATCCTCTCTGAAAACTTCATTTCCTTATTTGTTTAGAGGGTCATTTTGAACACTAATGCAACAAAGTTTGAAAAGCTGCCTGGGGCATAATAATAATGATTAATATGGATAAAGTACTTACTAGGCACTTGGCCAGTTCTCCTTAATCCTCATTACACATCTCTGTCTTGGTCCTTTTAATACAAAGGAGTCTGAAGCAAAGGGAGGTTATGTGAAGTTGTCGGGGGTGGCACAGCTAATTAGGGAATGGGACCCAAATTGGAACCTGGGATGCATGGCTCCTGAACACTCACTTTCAATCACTACTTTTTTAAATGCTCAGTATATTTTTGCATTTTTGCTAAGGATGGAGTGTTCATATTTCAGTACTCCAAGGGTTCTGGAGTCTGTTCTTCACTCCTAAAGTCAAGGAGCCTCTGTGGATGGCCTGTCGTTAAGGGAAAGTCCCTTTAGCCAGGAAGATTCCAAAGTCGCTTTTCATGAGCTTCAAGGCCTAGGCACCTCTGGAAAGAACTCCTTGGAATGGTGACGGAGAGTCAATTGCTAGAGACTTAGGTTTCTGTGCTCACTAAGGGTGTCTTACCAGGAGGAAGAGGGCTGAAGCAACAATTCCAAATGTCTCCTCTTTCCACCCAAGATCCCAGACCAAAGAAGAGGAAAGCGGTGAAACTGTTCTTTGTTCCTTCCTCATCAAGTTCTCTCTCTCAGATAAAAGCACTGTCTCCCCAATACTTACTTAGTAAGAGCCCCTCGACCAGCTTAGGGTCCTGGATACCCCTCAGGAGGATGAGCAATACCAGGAATGACGGAAATCCCAAGAATCTCCTTTTAGAAAGAGGCACTGGCCTGGCTGGTGGCACCAAAACTAGGCTTTACTGCTCAACAGCTCTGGCCTCTGAATTTTGGCCAGCCCAGGCCCAGAACTCCAGAGACGGCTCTGGAGACAAGCCAGCAACACTCCTCTGCTGGGAACACCAAGTCCCCGAGGCCATCAGTAGGACTAACTGGCACCTATAGTACCAATCCTGGGGGAAGGGGCTTCTGATGGGCTGCTCCTATCCCCCAGAATCTGAGACTCCTGGCTTCTCTGGTTTGCCAGGGAGAAGGGCACAGTCATCCAGGGTGTTCAGACTCTACTAGAGAAGGAATGCTCAACTCTAGAATTTTTTTCCAAAGAATGATTTGAACGTATACAAAAAAGAGAGAAAGGTATCAAGGGATGAGTGGAGGGGAGAAGCAGAGATGCGAAAGGGAAAGAAAAAAGAAATGTCTTATGTACATGTACCAACTTCCCACAAGGAATGTGAAAGTTGTATACTACACACGTGTACTAATAAACTAAACTAAGAATATCCTTGTTCTTGTCTTCCTGATTTTACCCTTCTCCTGACATAGCTATTTTTCTTGCTATTTTTTTATCTCCTCTTCATGCTTCTCTATGTTTTTTATCTTGTGGATCTCTCCCTCTATCCCTCTCCCCCATTTCCTTTGCTTCTCCTTCTGTCTTTCTCCCTCTCTCTTTGGCCAGCCCCTTTTCTTTGCCATGTCAAAGAGTAAAAATCATGATAATTAGTGGGACATGGGGAGGACGCATTGATTCCATGTTAAACGGAACCTTCAGAGAGTATCTGCTCAGGACATGCTACCATGGAAGCAGGTAAGATGCTTAGATTTGAGAACTTCCATCACCAGGTACAATTTAGAATAGGCAACAAATAGGAGAGAAATAATCTCAGCTATGGCTTCAGAACCAGCTGCATGAGAGGACCTGAAAAATGTTCCACTGATTGTTCTTGAGCTGTTTTACCCATTTAAGTCTTCAAACATCAGTGAGAGGGTAGATGTGATGTCAGTATGAGTGAACCTGGGACAGATGTGGTAGAGATGGCTATGCTCTCCGCTTACCTCAATTACACCTGAGCCTGTGAACGGTAATTCAACAGGACATTTTTAATCCATTCTTTAAAATGGAGGTAGAATTTTCACCATAGAACATCAGCCATTTTGAGGTGAATCATTCAGGTATTCACTGGCAGAAGTTCAGTGACATTTTTAGTACATTCACAAGGTTGTGTAACCACCACTTCTATAAGTTCCAAATCATTTCTTATCATTCCAAGTGAAAACCCTGTACCCATTGACAGTCACTCTCTAGCTTCCCCTCTCCAATTTCAGCTCCAGGCAAACACTAATCTTCCTTTCTGTATCTCTAGATTTACTTGTTCTGAACATTTCATGTAACCAGAATCACACGGTATGAGCCTGGTCATGCCTGTCTTCTTTCACTTAGCATCACTTTTCTGAGGCCCACCCACGGTGTAGCATGCATTGGCTCATGTTCCTTTGTATGGCTGAGTATCATCCACAGAGCACGGCAGCTTCCCATCTCTAGCAGCAGAGTCCTCCCTTCTCTGCTCTGACTTTTCTCAGGCTCCCTGGGAGCTTTCTCAGGTTGCACGTGGAACAATCTGGAAGAGTCAGGAATTTAATGCCCCAGACATCCATTGGAGGGAAGAAAATCATTGGCTTGGCTTCCTCATCACCAGCAACAGATAAAAATTTGGAGGCCTGTTTGACATGGTTCACACGGTTCCTTTGAAGGTGCCCAGCAGGACTGCCCTGCAGTTTCCCACATTGGTGACCACTCATAATTGACTCCTCTCTCTTCCCTGAGTCACCCACTCCCTACCACGTGCTTCCTGGGAGATCTCCCGGACGAACTACTTGAACCCAGGAATTTCTCCCAAGGTCAGTTTCTAGGGCATCCAAAGTAAAGCAACATTCATGGATCTAAGAGTTTTAGCATTTTAAAAAGAAACAGAAAGTTAACATCTCTAGAGCTCTCAACTCTGAAAGTTTAGATTGTCCTCATTCTATTAAAGGATGTCCCTGAAAGCTTCAATGACCCCTATTCTCTGCAAAATTCAATATAGGAAACAGATATGAATTACTCAGCCCCAAAGTCATAGGACTAAACCAAGTACTTTATTGAAAAAAGATGGGAGTTTCAGTGGATAATCAGGGAACTCTGGAAGATGGAGATGAAGGGGTGAGCATGCGTAGAGGTGAGACGCAAACAGAAGATATTATGCACAAAAAGAGGTGGGGATGAAGGAAAGGGAGGCAGGTCCTAGGGTTCACTGTTGAGAAGAGCCAAACTTTTTTTGGCGCGCTGGGAGTGGAGCAGTGGAATCCTGTCTGGAGCATCAGTCAGGTACACACAGTCAGGAGCAGGAGCCAATCCCGGTGGTCGTTCTGGTGCATGAGTCTTTATACTTGCACGAAGAGACTCTGTTGAAGATGTAGGTATAAGATGAAACTGGCTTTTGAAGTCATGTTTATGCATCTTTTTTGAGGGAGGAGATTTAAAGTGGGTTTGTGAAGGGGGGCTATCAGTCTCTTTCAAGGAAAACTGAGTGAGGTCGGATTGCTCATGAACAGCTGTGATGAGGAATTTGATGACTGGAATAGTTTGTGGTCAAGGTGCCCAGCACAAGGCTGGGCATGCTGTGATCCTTCAGAAATGGGTCTCAGAGATTTTGTCATCTTTGCACCCCTCCTAAGTCCCATCATACTTGCTAGCTTTGCCTCATCCTTACATCCCTTCCAATTTTTGGTCCCCCAGAGTCACTATCACCTTTCGGCAATTCTTACTTCCTGATTAGAACTGGTGCTGTAGCACTGGGTCTGCCAAGGAAATGGCTGTCCTGTGATGGACCAGCCAACACCCAGACCTCCTTAGCATGGATCTGGTTAAAATGGGAGACAAGGGCCCCAAGACTCACTTTTCTTCCACAGAAGTTCTGGCACATGCCTTTGGTTTGGAAGTTGTTATTGTTTCCATAGCAGCCACCATAGATGAAGAGGTCACAGGTATTATTTTCCTTATTATACCACCATCGACGAAAATAAGCCATGCAGAGGCCAGTTTCTTTTGGCAGACTGCATACATCTGTAGAGAGACCCCAGAGTTGAGATTTCAGTGCTTATTCCAGAACAACAAGGTGGTGATGTTCTCCCTGGTAACCAGCCGAAATGAAACTGGAACAGGCTCTCTTCCCCTATCACATTGTGGGAGCCCAGCTCTAGGAACATGCTGTACATACTGATAAGGAGACCCCAGAGTGGGTGTCTGCATCCCCAGTGATAGGACTGTGGCTGTGTAACTCGTTAAGATGGTATCATATTGAAGTGGGGTGGGTTCCTAATCCAGTATGACTAGTGTCCTTATAAAATGGGTAGATTTGGGCACAGAAGCACATGCAGGGGGAATGTCACATAAGCATGAAGGCAGAGATCAGAGTGATGTGCCTACAAGCCAAGGAATGGCAAAGATTGTCAGCTATCCACCAGACCTTAATAGAGAAGCGTGGAACAGGTTCCTCCCTCCTAATCCTGTGAAGGGATGAACCCTGCTGACACATTAATGTCAGACTTTGAGCCTGCTGAACTGTAGGGCAACTCACTAATTTTAAACCAACAATCTGCAGTACTTTGTTGCAGCAATCCTAAAAAACTAATACTGGTCCCAGCTAAAATGAGTTCAGGGAAAGTTAAGTCTCCGCAGCTAGACAATTTAGTCTTACTGGTTTCTACTTTCAAATAGCTCACCTCTCTGTCAGTCCTTTTACTTTTATTCTCAGCATCTCACACTTGAGCTGGTGATCCAGCACCTAACTGATCCTCCCACCTCCAGTGCTGGCCCCTCCCATGCACCTCCCCAGGGGGAAGGTTCTGGTGGATCTGATAGGCGCACTGATTGTGCCATTCCATGGATAGTACCTACCTTGACTATGGGGTACCAAAGTCATCCCATAAGCCACAAGGCCCTTCATCTTCTGGCTCCTACTCATGGCTCTGGCCTCATCCCTTTGACGTTGCATGCTTTGGCAATATTGACCTCATCATGAGACCATGCATCTCCATATCTCTGCACTGCCATATGCCCACTGCTGCTCACTGTCATGACTGATGCGCCTAATCCTTCCTTCAAACCTTTATCAGATGACCAACTCCTCTGTGATCATTGCTGACTCCATTCTACATCCCAACCTCTGCAGATACCTAAATCAAGCCTGCATTTCCCCACCTTGCTTCTTAACCATGTGTGTACATGTGCCTTTGGTTTATATCCTTGATCTCATTTTCTAGATTATCTCTAGTGAAGAGGGATTGTGCCTGATGTCATCTTGACCTGGCACACTGTAGAGCCTTATGGAATACTGAGAGTAAAGTAAAAAGTATCCTAGCCTGGACCAAACAAGACATTCCTTTAGCATCTGCTATGAACTAAAAGGTTTATGGGACAAAAAAAAAAAAAAAAAAGCAATCTCTGCTATTTAGGAGCTCGCAGATGAGAAAGACAAATGAAGTAATAAGGATCAGATGGCTGTTATGCGCCAGACCTTGCTCAAACTACTTCGTGAATATCAATTTATTTGATCCTCAAACCTTTAACACTGGTTAATGTATTATCTGAAGAAATTAAGGTACAGCCGGGGCTTTAGCTCAGCGGTTCAGTGGCCTGCTTCGCAAGTGCAAAGACCCGAGTTTGATCCCCAGTAATAAAAAAAAAAGAAAAAAAGAAATTAAGGTACAGCCGAGGAAATTTGTAAATTGGCTCAAGATAAAACAGCTGGTAAAAACCGGAGCTCAGATTTGAACTCAGGAAGTCTGGGTTTGGAATCCCTCACCTGCAGACATGCAAAGGCTCACGAGCCTCTGGCCTGCCTACTCCACTCCTTTGACAAATCCTGGGTACCGACCTCCTAATTACCTGTCAAACACACCCCACTCTTCACTTGCCCTCAGCTGCCTAGTTAAAGCTGCCCTTTTGCTTCATCTTAAAGTCCTTCATTGCCCCAATTTCCCTATCATACTCCAGAGGCACAGTACAAACTTGATCATGTCACTTCCCCCACTCATAGAACTCACAGAGCTCTATGGTTCTGGGATCAAGGTGAGACTCTGCTCTGGCCCACCAGATCTGAAATGTTTCATCTTTTCCATTCTAGGCTATTTTCCCCTTTCACCAAGCCACGCTCTGGGCCTCACCACGGAGCCTTTGTGCATGCTGTTCCCTATGCCCGGTAAGCCCTCCCACCCTCTTGTTTTCTCAAACACTACTCTTCATTCTGAATTCAACCGCAGGTTTGCTTTCCAGAGATGCCTTTTCCGTGTTCCACACCACAGTGAGCAGGTCAGATCCTACCATGGATCCTGTCATTTGGAGATGGCCTCAGTGTGTCCTCCAATAAGGTTCACACTGGGGAGTTTGGGCCCAGAGGTGGCAGTACCTTAAGGAGATGACACCTAGTGATAGGTCCTTGGGCGATTTAGGGAATGCCCCCCGGAAGGACTGTGGGTCCTTAGTATCTCTCTTGGCTTCTGTACCCCGTGATCTATCTCTTCCTCACACAATCCACCAACTGCCATGGGATACTTGCCAGAGAATGTAACATGCTGTTTGGACACAGACTCCAAAACTCTGAGTGAAAGAAAACTCTTTTCTTCGCACACTTAACCTATCACTGGTATTTCATTAGAGAGGTACAAAATGGGCTGATGTAATGAGTCTCAGAGGCACAAGTAAATATTTGCTAAATAAATGCAGAATTTTTGACAGTCTTTTTTGGAATCCAGGGAGATGGGTATGGAGTTAACCCTGCAACAGCAAAGGAAAACCTCTCTGTTCTGGGGTGGTCAAGGCAGGTTTCCTGACAGAAAGTTGAATCTGGATAGGCAGAAAGGAAGTAGCTTAAGAGCAGAAAGCCAGGAAAGATGATTGCTGGATTTATCACTTGCAGCAGCAATGTTGCTATGTGTTAGGAAAATAATGGCCACCTGGGTGCTCAGAAAATCATTAGACTGGAAAGAAGCCAAGAAACCACCTGATTGAATCCCATTCCTGCACCTATCATTTGCTCAGTGAAACTGAGGCCCAGTCATTACCTGACAGGATAAGAACATTACTAATGTTACACACCGTATTAGGGGCAGAGGTCTCCCAAATCCAGCAACCTCACCCAGGACCGGCCCTCAGTGATCCAGGTGTCAGTGCTAACCCAGAGGGTCTGAGTAGAGAGGGTGGTTATTTGGAGCTTCTGAATGTTACCTTGTTTGAGGTCTAGACACTTTTTTCCACAGCTGAAGACGCAGCACTTTTCATTGTCCTGGCACTGGCTGTCCTTTTGGCATATATCTCTTTCTTTGAATTCACAGTTCTCGCTGATTCTGGGGCATTTACCTAGGGAAGGAAGCGTCTTATGGCCATAAGCCTTGGAGGGAAGAGAGCCCATCCTTCACCAGACCCACTTCCAGTGACAGGGAACTTTCTTTTCATTTTGTCCACCTCCAAGAGTCCCTTTCCTAAGGTTTCCTCACGTAATTCCCAGCACAACCCATACTATCTTCCCTCGTGGGCACCCTCACTCCCAATCTTCTTAGCCCCATTCCTTGACCCACTTCTACCCCTGGCCCCTCTGAGGCAAGTTTTCTATACCATTGGTGGCATTGGGTCTGAGTAAATCTTTGCTGGGAGAGACGCTGTGCTGTGCACTGTGGGAGGCCGAGCAGCATCCCTAGCCTCAACCCACTCTAAGCCTGAGGCATTCCCCTCTCCTGTAACAACAAAAATATCTCCAGACATTGCAAATGCCCCCTATGGGAAAACTGCCCCTGTTCAGCCAATGGTTTGGGCTGATCTGGTCTTCTTGGCCTTGCTGAAAAGCCAGGGTCTGTGAAGTCCTCCAGGAGGTAACATTGTTCAGTGACTCCTAGTGCACTAGAGTCACTTCAAGTTTTGAATTCTCACTCTGGTCTTCCACTTGCCCCCTCTGAAATATGGTTTCTTCATTTGTGCAATCCATTTGTCCCTGGAAGGGAAGACTTGTGAGGAAGAAATGAAACAAAGGCTGTAAAACTCTAGTCAGAGCAACCAAGGCACAGTCAATTAACCAGCATTTGTTAAGTGCTTACTATAAGCCACACACTCTTCTTAGCATTGCAAATGCATCATCTCATTTACTCTCCACCAGGGATCTGTGAAGTAAATTCTAACAGTCCTGTTTTACAGATGAGGAAACTGGAGCACGTAGAATTTAAATCACTTGCCTATGTGTCTTGGCTACCAGGATTCAACTCTCTGAATCTGTCACCGAGCCCTCTTTAAATATTTACCTTTTTAAATGTTTACTCAGAAATCTCTATTTTTTGAGTCAACAAATGCTAGAAACTGTCATTATTAGCCAATCCTGGTGATGTAGATCTCTAATCCCAGCACTCTAGGAGGCTGAGGCAGGAGTATCACAAGTTCAAGTCCACTCTGGGCAACTTAGTGAGACCTTGTCAAACTAAAAAATACAAACTAAAAAAAAAGCTTGGCTAGTAGCTCAGTGTAAAGGCTCTACGTTTTATCCCCCATATCACAGAAATTAATCACTATTGCAGTATAATAATGAATTGTTGGTGTCTTACATTTTAAAAGACTACTAGATATTAGCGTTTATCCTAAAGTCAAGAAACCCCTGGCAATGCAGAGGCACTTCATAGGACTATGTAGATAAGAACCCGAAGTTAATGTGATGCCCCAAGAGAGGAGTCTCGTTCTGGTGGGACCAGGAAGATCCCTCAGTCTTCTCAGATTGCTATAGTCCCTCCCACAAATGCTAGATTTTGTGAGTCTTCCTCACCTCCCCAAGAGGACTCTCCATCTGCATAGGGGCTGAGAGACACAATTGCCCAGAGCCGGAGTGCTGCCTTCACAGAAGGGATCTAAATATCTCCCTCTCTCCCAACCCAAGGCCAGGGCTAAGATGGAGGAAGGCAAGTCATATCTGAGGAATCATTCCCTGTTCCTTTCCTCGTAGCAAACTTCCCTCTCTCAGCCAGAGTGCAGATGCAATACTTACGGAAAGAGCGCCAGTGAGCAGTTTGCTGAACATTCGCCAACAGGATGAATAGCACGAGGATGCTCAGAAGTCCAGAAGATTCCATCCTGAGGAGGAAGGCATCATATCTGAGGAATCATTCCCTGTTCCTTTCCTCGTAGCAAACTTCCCTCTCTCAGCCAGAGTGCAGATGCAATACTTACGGAAAGAGCGCCAGTGAGCAGTTTGCTGAACATTCGCCAACAGGATGAAAATCACAC